ATATTTGGACGTATTGTATGTGTGAGGGGCGCAGTGTGTGTGTATGTAAGAGGGGTGCTGTGTGTGAGGGTGTTTTTTATCTGCCGTCACATTCTAATTTTCTTTGTCTGTTAACTCACTGAGGGTTATTTTATATATTATATATATATCTGTGTATATATATATATATATATATATATATATATATACACACATACATACACACACATATATATATGTGTGTGTGTGAGCGAGGGTGCTGTCTGTCTGAGGGTGCTGTGTGTGAGTGAGTGCGCTGTGTGCCTGAGTGCGCTGTGTGTGTCTGGGGGTGCTGTGTGTGTCTGGGTGCTGGGGGTGCTGTGTGTGTCTGGGGGTGCTGTGTGTTTATGGGGGTGCTGTGTGTGTCTGGGGGTGTTGTCTGCCTGGGTGCTGCCTGTCTGGGGGCTGTGTGTCTGGGGTGCTGTGTGTGTCTGGGGTGCTGTGTGTCTGTGGGTGCTGTGTGTGTGTCTGGGGGTGGTGTGTGGGGGTGATGTGTGTGTCTGGGGGTACTGTGTGTGTTGGGGGTGATGTGTGTGTCTGGGGTACCAGTGTCTGGGTGCTGTGTGTGTCTGGGGTACTGTGTGTGTCTGGGGTGCTGTGTGTCTGGGGGTGATGTGTGTGTGTCTGGGGTACTGTGTGTGTCTGGGTGCTGTGTGTGTGTCTGTGGGTGCTGTGTGTGTCTGGGGTGCTGTCTGTCTTGGGTGCTGTCTGTCTGGGGGTGCTGTGTGTGTCTGGGTGCTGTGTGTGTCTGGGGGTACTGTGTGTGTCTGGGTGCTGTGTGTGTCTGGGGGTGCTGTGTGTGTCTGGGGGTGACTGTGTGTGTCTGGGTGCTGTGTGTGTCTGGGGGTGCTGTGTGTGTCTGGGGGTGATGTGATGTGTGTGTCTGGGAGTACTGTGTGTGTCTGGGGGTGCTGTGTGTGTCTGGGGGGGCTGTGTGTGTGTGTGTGATTTTTTTAATTTAAATTAATTTTTTTTTATTTTTTATTAATAATAATAATTTTAAAAAAAGTTATATCCCCCCCCCTCCCTTCTTACCTTTAGCCTGGGAGGGGGGGGGGACCGTTTTGCCTGGGACGGGGGGAGCCGCTCTGCCATGGGAGAGCCATGCTGCCTGATGGCAACGCTCAGAATCCCGCGAGAGGACCCGGCGGAGCTGCTGGATAGAGCTCCGCCGGTCCTCTCCTCCCTCCCTCACACCCCAGCAAGCGGCCGCCTGGAAGTGTCTCTAGGCCGGTAAAGGGAGATCTTTGATCTCCCCACCGGCCCATGGAGGCACACAGCAGGGCCGGCGCTCGGATAGCGCTGGCCCTGCAGGGGCTGGCAGGGGAGATCCTGTGATCTCCCCTGCCGGCCTCGGCCCCACGGCCATCGCGGCCCACCGGGCATTTGCCCGGTGTGTCCGATGGCCAGTCCGGGCCTGCTCTAAGCTTATCATTTTTTAACACACTTGCTACAGGCACCTTCTGTCCTTGTTTTGGGGGACAATTGGATTGATGTTTTATCACCCTTTTGCCCCCCCCCTCCTAGTTTAAATACATCCTAGCAAAACCTCTGAACTGCTCACTGAGAACATTTGTTCCCTTTTGAGAAGGATGCAAACCATCTTTTTTGTACAGCTTATCTCCATTCCTACCATGAGAAATAAAGCCAAATCCTTCCTCCCGACACCATTCACCAAGCCACAAGTTAAAGTCCCTAGTACGCATCCGCCTGTCGTTCTGAGTGTTATGCACAGGCAGAGCTTCAGAGAATGACAGTGTGGAAGCAACCTGCCGTATATCATTGGCAAAAACACTAAAAACTTCCTTAACCTCTGAAACCTCATTGCAAGCCAAGTCATTTGTCCCTAGATGGACAATTACATCCACTGGTGAAAGTGTTATGTTTAGATGGGACCAAAATCAAGCTCAACTAGACATGTGCAATTCGTTTCGGTCCGAATATGAATTCGGACGAATTTCGGGCAATTCGGACATTCGGGTACTTCCGAATGTCCGAATTGCCGAGGTCCCGAAGTTCCGAAATTACTGAATTTCCGAAGTGTCGAAGTGCTGAAGTTGCCGAAGTTCCGAAGCACAGTATTGCCTAAGTACTAATATACTTACCCAGTGAAAGAAGAAGAATGTTACATTGTATACAATTTTAAATAAAAATATACAAACATAGCAAGGATTCAGCTGTAAGCATTTGCAACACTTACAACAACCAAGTAACATACATTCATATAAAATGTGTTACTTAGCCTGTCAATGTAATGACAGGAATGAATAAGTAGATAACTCCCTAATTCCCACGGTACTAGGGAGCTATCTACTAAAAGGCTGAAAGACCTAAATTGGTCTTTCAGCCAAATTTACATTAGGTCCCCTCCTCCCCCTTATTCTGATTTAGGGCCCCCACCCGCTGCTCAGGGGTGGGGGCCCAGGGGGAGGACAATAGGTCCCCCCTTTAGTTTAAAAGTCCCCACTCGCGCATCGTGGGTGGGGGCTCGGGAGGGGGCACCTTTTTTTATTTTTTTATTTTTAACAGTGAGCAGCCGCAGTATAGCGAGTAGGGGCAAAATTTACTAATACTAAGTCATTTTTACTTAGTATTATTAAATTTGTCTGAAAGATCAATTTAGGTCTTTCAGCCTTTTGGTAGATAACTCCCTAATACCGTGGGAATTAGGGAGTTATCTACTAAGTGGCTGCAAAAGAAGTGCCGAAGTTGCCGAATTTCTGAAGTGTTGAAGTGCTGAATTGCCGAAGTCCCGAATTGCGAAAATCTCAAATTTCGGAATACCGAACCGAAAATTTTACCCATGCACATGCCTAGCATCAACTTAACTCGCCGTGTTTTGAGGTGGAGGAATGCTGCCTATGATCCCAAGAATACCATCCCCACAATCAAACACAGAGGTGGAAACAGTAATTTAGGGGTGTTTTTCTGTTAAGGGGACAGGACAACTGCACCGCATCAAAGGGATCATATGCCGTCAAATCTTGGGTAAGAACCTTTTTCCCTCAGCCAGGGCATTAAAAATGGGTTGTGGATGGGTATTCCAGCATGACAATGACCCAAAACACACAGCCAAGGCAACAAAGGAGTGGCACATGAAGAAGCACTTTAAGGTTCTGGAGTGGCCTAGCCAGTCTCCAGACCTTAATCCCATAGAAAATCTGTGGAGGAAGCTGAAGGTTCGAGATGCCAACTGTTAGCCTTGAAACCTTAATGACTTGGAGAGGATCTGAAAAAGAGGAGTGGAACAAAATCCCTCCTGAGATGTGTGCAAACCTGGTGGCCAACTACAAGAAACGTCTGACCTCTGTGATTGCCAACAAGGGTTTTACCACCAATTACTAAGTTGAAGGAGTCAAATACTTATTTCACTCATTGACATGCAAATCAATTTATAACTTTTTTGACATGAGTTTTTCTGGATTTTATTTTTTTGGGGTGGTTATTCTGTCTCTCACTGTTAAAATACACCTACCATTAAAATTATAGACTGATCATTTCTTTGTCAGTGGGCAAATGTTTAAAATCCGCAGGGGATCAAATACTTTTTTCCCTCACTGTACATAGCAATGGCTCCTCTTGCCTACGTTACACTAATACTTCCATTTATTTACTCATCTTTCCTTTCCATTATTTATTAAAATATGTTCTCAGTTCTTTTCCCTACCAGGGCTTTAAGCAACAACGCACCCCTTATTCCCCAACAATATGAGTACCATTAGGAAAAAATGCATTTTGCTGTGACACCTCAGCAATGAAAGGGTTCATTTTGTTTATGCTTATCCATCTTTGGCGTTGGAGTCGGAATTTACAGTTTACTAATCGTATCACTTGCTTTTCCTAGTCAACAGGAATATTGTATCACCACGTCTATAATGTGTCAGATACAATTGGAAGCACAATTTTCTGCATATACCATTTTTGAAGTGACAAATGTAAATTTGAATTAGGACATGAAAATAAAAGAAACGAAAAATACAATTTAAGATTTTAAAAATCACTTATCTTTTTTTTTTTTTGTCATTTTCCCTGCAATTCAAATTATTTATAAATCGTCCTGCTACTTTTTCTGCTGTTTCACTAAAAATTTTTTGCCACTCTGGATTTTCCAGTATTCTACAGAAACTGTGACAAATTTCTATTTAGAAATCTGTCACTGTTTAGGTCACTTCAATAAATATGATCAAAACAATGACACTTTGATAAATGTAGGATTCAAGTGCACTGGACTCCAAACTATCCTCCCATATAAATCAGCGATTTTTGTCTATGCGCTTCCATTCAGTTACAATTCACTACGATTAGCAGTAACATGCTGTGTATACTGTAACCCTAGTCACATGAATATCGATATATGTACACTAGAGATTTCAGTGGAATGTACAGTATACTCTGAGCCCAGGCACATGAACAATTATTTATAAGTTGTTATGGTGGTAGGACATAGTGACTAAGACTGAACGCTCCACCATAACAACATACACATTTTAGATTTAAAAAAAAAAAGTTATTTAAAAGCTAACTTGAGAGTGTAAAAGCAGCTAATTAAAATCACTAAAAAAAATGTTGTGTTTTTTTTTACCACTAGACCACCTACATTTATATTACATTATTTAAATATAAATTATTTATTACAGTCCTATAGACTGTAAGCTGGCTTGACCAGGGTCATATTCAACCTATCATCACTGTAAGTTTTCTTATAATTGTCCTATTTATAGTTACATACCCCTTTTTATAATATTGTAAAGCGCTACGGAATCTGTTGGCGCTGTATAAATGGCGATAATAATAATAATAACTCGCTTGTTCTACTTCTACATAACAGCTTGTTTCCACGGGGACGGTGACTGTGTGACACACCCGGAAACACATGTCTGGGAGGCCTATGTAATGTTAATAATGCAGAGGGAGTTCATTACTCGAGCTGTGTGTTTAATATGAGTATGACAGTGCAGTGGTTATAGTATGTAACAGGTAGTCAGGCTCAGACCCTCCGTGTTACGGCCTTACACCCAGCCTGCCATTCCACCGCAGGAAGACGACCAGCCAGGGGGCGGAGCCAGAGGACATTTCTCCTGTTGGCTCTTTCCGCCCGTCCTTCCTTCCTCTTCCGGTGTCGGCGGTTCCAGGTATGGCTGCTGCTCTGTCTATGGCCGATTTGTATGAGACTTTTAATCCGCATCCATCCTTGGGAGGGTCTGTCCGCCGAACACAGGGGGGCACACGGGGTGTTAGCTGGGCTCAGTGTGCGGGCAGTGAGCGCTATATTGCCCGAGTGTAGACCCGGGAGAGCTGATTGTTTAAGGTCGATTTACGCCGGCCCGGCAGCGGTAACATTGCACGGCTGCTGCTAGCATGGCGCCGGGAGGGAGGGAGGGAGGGAGAGAGAGAGAGAGAATGGGCAATATACCCCAATATAGAGTGTGCTTGCTTTCAGTGGAAATAAACATAATCCAAGTAAAGTGACTCACTGGAGCGGTGAGAGTGGTGTAGTTGTATTATAGGCTTCATAGTTACACATTGGGCTTGGGTTTATCATTAAATATCCAGGGCAATCTGTGCAGGCCTGAATAAATCTGATGGCAAAGCTGTATTATTCCTAGTTGGGAGGTTGTGACTCTTGTGTTGCTTTATCAAACTCTGATACAGTCTTGGAGGTTTCTCTATTTCATTCCCACTTCGTGTAATCTAAACATTCAGCTCTAGATTTAAAATGCTTACTGTGATATATAGGATCTAAACATAGCATGTTTTATTCTGTTTGCCACTGAATATTCTAAGAGTACTGCTGATAAAAATGCCCTTGTTCTTCAGTGCATAAATCAAGTGTGGTACTGTTAAAAGTTACACGTTGTCATGATACACTAATAAAACTACATAAGGGGGGAGCAAATGTATAGGATATTTCAGTATGTTATGTATTTGAATGTCTCTGATACTATACATTTTTTTTTTTTTTAACTCCATAGTTATATTTGAGCTGGAAGTGTTGGATTAAAAAAAACTATATATATATATATATATATATATTATTTTTTTTATTAAGGTTTGTACTCCAAAACTCCTGTTTTGGGCTGGAGATGACAACTCATCATTTACAGTTTTGATCATATAAATGGCCCAGGAGTGTGTAATCCTGTATTCCACAGTGTAGGAGTTAAAGATATAAACAAATCCCGAAATGGAATTTAAAGAGGGTCTTTTGCCAAAGAGAGAGAGGAATCATTTACATACTTTGATTGCAAAAAAAGAGTAACTGTCACGAACTTTAGGTGAACAGTTTTCCTAAAACCTTTCAATTTTTCTTGATGAGCAATTTTATCAGTCATCCTCGCGTTTTGAAACGAAATTGGCAAGACCCTGCAATACTTATATGGGTACCGCCATCTGGGATCATACAACAGACTTGAGTCTGTAGTGACAGCTTAGTCTTTACTTCTAAGATCAGTAAAAAAAAATATATATATATATATCATTCAGATGGATAATTCAGTCCACAGACAAGTAGTGTAAAACTGTTGATACCTCCTGTACGTACTTCCTCTCGTGCATTATAATAATTTTGGATGTGTATATACTAATTAGAAATGTCATTAACCAAGATATAATTCATCTCCAGATCTAAAAATGGTTCAGCGCCTGACATACCGTCGTAGGTTGTCCTACAACACAACCTCCAACAAGACCAGACTGTGAGTGTTTTTTTTTTTTCTTTTCTTTTTCTTTAAAGGTTCATATTGCTACTATTCGTGATTCAAATTCTTGTTTTGCTTTGTTTGTTTTTTCTATATATGTGTATCTTTCTCTTTGCAGGTCTCGAACACCAGGTAACAGAATTGTTTACCTATATACCAAGAAAGTTGGCAAGGCACCAAAATCAGCATGTGGTATATGCCCAGGCAGACTCCGTGGTGTGAGTATTTTGAATGTTTGCACCTATGTTTCGGTGGTAACAAATATGTGAAACTTGGTTTGCAAAATCAGATTTGTCTAAAAATTAGTTTTTCATGTTTGCCACAGTTTTGTGTACATGTGCTATTTTTTATTTGTAAAACTGCTACTCCATTCATCTACATTGGTGCTCATAATGCACCAAAATGATCTTTCGATGCTTTTTGTTTCTCTTGCATTTTTTGTCTTTGACGAATTTACCACTCGTTACATTCTGAGAATTAGACAAATGAATAATACTATTAGTGGAAAAATATCCATTCACGAGTTGAAGTATTTGTTTTCTTACTATATAAAGAAAAACTTTAATATTGTGAAAGCTGCTTATGTCATGGGAAACCTGCTTAAAAAAAAAAAAAAAAAGTGTTTTTACATTTCTTTTGATAAATTGAAACGGGCAAATTGGAACAGAAACCTAAAATGTTGCAATAAGAAAGGAAAATTGCAAGAAAGTGTGAAAAATATGATTTAATTATTTACCCACATTTTTAAATCATGGACTATTAATAATATTGTGCAACCATGAGTTTCTGACCGTTATTTGTAAAGCCATTCTTTGTTGAACATTGTAATATTACAGATGTGAGTCTCTATGATCACACTTCTGGAATGTGTGTTTGTGTATATATATAATATTGTATGTATATGTGTGTGTGTGTGTATACGCACACAGTGTACACCTATTATGTATACAGGGTATAGTGGTAGTTTGTCTCCTGCAGTGGGTGCACCCATCTTTGAACAGCCAACCACAAGGCCTGTACATGGCATTAGGACACCATGTTTATTTTTAAGTGCAACATCACATTCCACTTATTGCAGAAATGTGTTATCGCGTAAACTCACATATGTAACATTACTATAATTGACTTTATGCCTACAATTACACTACTACTTATATTCTATCCCAGATGAGATCAGGGACTGCTTATTTTGCTGTTACTATTTGGTTGGAGAACCATATTTGCTTTGTGTTGCCTCAGTTTAATTTTCCTAAATATGTTTGAATGTTGTCAATAATACAGCATATTTTGCACCCAGTTCAAACTGCTCACATTTCCAATTTGCTATGGAATGTGTATATACTTTTTTTTGGGTATTGTCATCTTTTAAGCTTGTTGATATTGGTAAACACCAAATAACAAAACAAATGTAATTAGGTGCCCAACGTTCTGTGCAGTACCTTTTTGACATCAGTAGTTGGTATGCTGTACCCAGCTGGAAAATAAATTTTGCATCCATGACTGTTTTAAATAAATTTTTTAATTTGTCAGTCTTGTAAAAAAAAAAAAAAAGTTAAGGAATAAACATTTTTGTAAATGCATATTTAGGTCATTTTATGTTGGACACAATCCGGAGCATATTTTCTGGTTGCCTCAAATTTTAACGTCTTCTATGCTTGTTTGTAATCGTAAGAATGTGTCTTTATGACGCCATGGGAGACGGAGAGATGAGCAGTGCTAAAGGAGCATTATAGAGTTATTACAACTTTGTATTCCTAGCGCTATAGTCTTTTGTTAAGATTTATAGGTCATGATTTGCATTCAACATAGCAAACAAAATATCTGGTCATATATGCAGGTGCAAAGAGAGAATGGGTTTTTAGCATGTTCTTCTTATTCTATTTTAGATTCGTGCAGTCAGACCTAAAGTGCTCATGAGACTCTCCAAAACAAAGAAGCACGTCAGCAGAGCATATGGTGGATCCATGTGTGCAAAATGTGTTCGTGACAGGTATGTTTTATTCACTCAAGGAAAATGCTAGTACTTGGGGGTTGCAATGTTTTGCTTTGCTCCTCAGTTTTTGAGGGCAGCATTTGTCAATGTGGCCCTTAAGCATTTTATAAGTGTGTATTTACAGTTTAGTATTTTTGCCAAATTTATGGTCTGTGAACAAAAAACTGCATAAATGTGTTTTTTACATTGCAGTCTTTTTGGACTGACCAAGTGAAACATGGTCACATAATGTAGAAACCTCCATAGGGAGAGCATTAGATTGGACATCATCTGTGGAGGTCATGCCTCCCCCATGATGTTGCAGGAGGTGAAGAGGTAAGCGGCGCCAAGGAAGCCTCGGCACTCAAAGGGTAGGACATTTTTATTTTATTGCGTAGGAGGAGGAGTACCCCTAAGTGTAGATTTGTATGCCCATTGCTATAGTATTCCTTTTAAGCCAGGGGTGCACAAAAGGTAGATCCCCAGATGTTTACAGACTACAGCTTCCAAAATGCTTTGGCATTTTAGAGGCACACAAAGCATCATGGGAGTTGTGGTTCTACAACATCTGGGGAACTACGTTTTGGGCATCCCTGCTTTGAGCCTTCCATAAATCCAGACTATGGACCATGTCGACACAAGTGACTGTTGCAATAACTATTTAGTAACTTGGCTTTTATATTCAAATACATAGATTTCACGTTTTAACAAGTTGCACGACTCACTCTAGACATTCCTCAAGAGGAAACTGGTATATGTGGTTTTTGGTTGTACTTCATGCAAACAAGCACTCAACTAGTGATTTCCACTTCAAATACTTCCCAAAATTTGGTCAAAGAGTTTGATCTGAAAAATGGGGCAATCGTCAAAGAAACCAGGATCAGCAGAAATTTCCCATTAAAGATAACTCCACTGTTAAAGGCTCACTATTGTGTCAGCAAAACAAAGTGGTTTTCCTGACACTATAGTGCCCCCACCTTCAGGGTCCCCCTCCCGTGGAAGCTTACCTTAATCCAGCGCTGGTGACCTCTCCTCCCCCGTCCGATGTCAGCGGAGCTGAATGCGCATGCGCAGGCATTCAACATATCCATAGGAAAGCATTTCTTAATGCTTTTCTATGGATGCTCTGCGGGATGGAGGCATAATATGCCTCGAGCGTCGCAGACGCGCCTCTAGAGGCTGGCCTAACTCCAAATGTAAACATAGCAGTTTCATCTGAAGGGTTAAAACCTGAGGGACCTGGCACCCAGACCACGTCATTGAGCTGAAGTGGTCTGGGTGACTATAGTGTCCCTTTAAGAACAGGACACTTTGATCAATCTCACCATTGGGTTTTGTGTGTATATGTATAATTTTTTAATTAATTTTTGGTAAATCTTGTGAAGTGCGTATATGTAACAGTCTGATGTTCAATCAGAATGTGCTCAACTCATGAATCCTATCATAAGGCTTCAAATGCTTGTTGATGGAATTATACCAGAAGGATTTGCTGTTTAGTGTGGTAATGCAACTTAACCGTTCTTTTTCTAATTTGTAATATTGCAATACAATTAAATTTTTCCCAGGATCAAGAGGGCATTCCTTATTGAGGAGCAGAAGATTGTGGTGAAAGTGCTGAAGGCTCAAGCACAGAGCCAGAAGACAAAGTAAAATCTGCATTGCCTACATCACAATAAACTTGTTCCACTTGTAGTTTGCCTGGCATCTCATTTATAAAACAAATGCACAACTGTACATTTCATGAAGCAATACACCACTGAAATAAGTAGAATGCTGCTAAGCAACAAATGATACAATGGTTTGTCACCATCAAAAAAAGTCTACTTTTGTTTTGATTTATTTTTATTTTTTTAATGCCTATTTCAGTAATTTTTTATTTTTTTTATATGCAAGCTGCATAACACACCACGTGCGAATAGCAACATGTGGTGTGTGAATAGCATGTGTAGTAACTACATAACTACAACTTTATGTATAGATTTATCTTTGTAACATTACATAAAATAGTTTTCAAAGAAAGGAATTTTTTTTTTTCCTCTGTTATGTTTGCAGAAATACTGTTGTGGGTGTAATATTTTACATATGCTTACTAATACTTATTTTGCCCTTGCTCAATTAAGTATGGACCAGTGGTCATTGCTGTTAAAAACTATTTCTGTGCATTATGCAGGCTAAATTGGTAATATGTAGATCAGTTTTTGGCAACCTATATGCCATGCATTACACACAGGCTGCCAGATGCCAACAGGCTGGCTCAAGAAATAAGAGGATTTACCCATATCTGGCTTAATAGTGGATTCAGTGGCTCATGCAGTACTTGGAGGGGGCAGTCAGTCCTAGACTATTAACTTGCCAATACAAGCCTGGAGGGTAGAAACTTTCACCAGGGCTAAATCTTTGAGCCCTGATCCCATAATCCGAATATGGCAACATATGCTAATTTAAAAAGAAAAGTACTAATAGGGCCAGCCACTAAGGGACATCAAAATCTTATTTTAGCACAGTGCTGCTAAAATGTTGCTCGTGCATTTGGTGTATATATTGGACTTGCCCCAATGTGGTTTCAATACTTTTCAGTTTGGTGTTTAGTGAATAAACCCAAATGGTCCATTCAGTTTATATGCAGGTTGGGCATTAAGAAGTGCCACTCTATGAGAGCCTGTGGCGGTCTGGATACGTAGAGTGGGGAATATTTTTGTGGTGAGCTTTCAAATATATTTTTATCCCAAAAATATTTCCCCCTCCAAAATGTTATGTTTTGCGGAAGTACACGTTTTTTTTTTTTTTTGTTTTTTTAAATTGCATGCTATGGAATAAAAAAATGCCAATTAAGAAGCGGATTAAACTCTAACTCAAGGGTAAACTGACAATCAGTTGAAATGCATCATATAGATAATGTGCAAAGACAATGGATCTGAAGGGATGCTTTGTTGCAGAACACCAAGCATATAAATAGATGGCTGTATTAATATTATTTATATAGCGCCCACAAATTCTGTCTCTGCAGGCTTTTTAATTTAATGTAAACAATACCTTTTCAGAGAAAAGGCAGTGTTTATATTACTGCCTAGGAACACATCTAGGAGTAGTAGCAGCTCAGAGGGCCACTAGAGGTGCTGCACATGCTTTGTATGGAGCTGTTGCATGCTCCTCAGGGATGCATTAATCCAATGCATCTCTGAGGAGATGCTGTTTGGTGCAGTGGTTTGCTGCACATGCACAATAGCCTCCCAAATGCTTTCCCATGAAAAAAAAAAGCTTTGCATTGGCTGAGATCATCAAATCTGATGATCTCAGCCAAGGAGGTGAAGCAGGGGCCGGCCCAGCGGCGAGGAGACCTGCGCGGGAAAAGATGAGTAAACTAATCTTTTTCTCTGATAATGGAGGGCGGCCACCTAAATGGCACACTTAGATCTATAGTGTCAGGAAAAAGTAAAGGGTTAAAATCAAAGTATTACTTTTTTTTTTGTAAAAGAGGGACTCTAAAATCTAGACCTCACTGATACCCTAGGGTAAAATATAATACCAGGGGGCAGAGTCTGACTGCGATGCTGGATGTATGCTTCGCACTAAGGCTTCTGCAACTTTGTCCTTTTGGCTTGCTAGAGTCCTTACACAACTAGAATTTAATCAACAAGCTGAGAAATTATACACACAGCCGTTCTGGTTCAGAATTTAGTCTTTGTAGTTCCCTTTAGGAACAATTCTCTGGATTCCCCTAAAACGGGACACCAGTAGACTAAGTTGGGATGGTGGGACAGGATGTGAAAAATCAGGACTGTCCTGCCAAAATTGGGAGGGAGTCATGCAGAAAGTGTTGGGAGAGTCGGGGAGAATATTAAGGTGTGGGAAAGAGAAAATATTCGAAAAATTATAGGTGGGATTGAATATTGAGAAAGATGAAGATGTGGGGACAGAATATAAAGTGAAATACAGTAGGATACTAGGGGAGTGTGGAAAGAGGGATACCACTGGAGGAAGACTTGATGGGAAGAAGTTCACCAGTAGGAAGTAACTGGACCTGTAAATGATTCTGATAGGAGCATTTTGTTGCTGAACATTACATTAATTAGCCCCACAGCAATGAAAACACAGACAGGATCTTCACTAAACTCTGAATTGTAGCACATTGAAAACAGTTTTTAAACGAAGGCTAAAATATCCAAACTGCAGCCATGGTGCAGTTGAAGAATTTCTTCAAATCAGCTATCATTGCCTTGAAGGCACACTATAGTCACCAGAAAAACTACAACTTATTGTATTTGTTCTGGCAAGTAGAATCATCATTCCCTTCAGACTTTTTGAAGTAAACACTGTTTTCAGGGAAAATGCAGTGTTTAAATTACAGCCTAGGGATAACTCCACTGGCCACTCCTCAGATGGCTACTAGAGGTGTTTCCTGCCATTCAGTGTCTCCACCCTCTGCATGCAGACACTGAACTTTCCTCATAGAGATGGATTAATTCAATTAATCTCTGAGGAGATGTTGATGGCCAGAGTTGTGTTTAACTTGTGCTGGCTCTGCCCCTGATCTGCCTCCTTGTCAGTCTCAGCCAATCCTATGGAAAGCATTGTGATTGGATCACAGAATCACTTCTGATGATGTCACCTGTAAGCAGGCAGGGGCAGAGGCAGCAGCTGCAGACTTAAATACAAGTAAGATTTTACTATATTCAGGGGGGGCTAGATGGTGGTTTTAACACCATTGGGTCAGGAATACATGGTTTTGTTCCTAACCCTATAGTGTTCCTTTAAATTTGCAATTCATATTTCACTTAGCTTCAGTTGAGCATAAACACATATACATAAGTCAGTTTTAAAAAAAAAATCGGGGGCGGGGGCTGACTGCCAAACAAGCAGGACGCAGGTTGAGGTAGCTCCTCAGCTTAAACGTAATGATTTGCCTTTAAAACTATAGCCACAGATACCTATTAAGCAGAGAGTATCTGGGCACCTTTAATACAGAAGCACCCCATTTATATAGGAGCCTGAGTTGGAGACTTCCTGCGGCCTGTGCTTTTAATCTGGGTAGGAGACGCAGCCGGTCTCCTGCCTCACAAAGAGCTTGTTTGTGGTTTGGGTCCTATTCCTAACCTGGGCCGGTGGGGGTTATCCTGATCCACACTGGGCTACATACCGTAAATCTGTGGAGGATTGCTCTGTGCTGTGGCGGTGAAGAGTCTCGCGAGATGGCGGAGGCACAGGGCCTGAAGTCATGCAGAGCAAATTCCAATACTCGAAATCTTCACACCATGGCAAAACTGGAGGCAAGCAACTTGGCTAAGCAGGCCACTGTTTCTTTCACCACAAGCACGCCAAAACAAAGGGCCACCCGGGGTCAAACCTCAGCATTCCAGCAACAAAAGCGGCAGGGCCACAGGTAACAAGTGATGAAGAAGACTCACCAGACCGCTCGCATTTTTCCGAATGGGAAGTCATTGGAGTCAAGGGCTTTCCAAATTTATGACATGCTCACTGCCACTGGCGTTTGGGGTGCTGCTCCATTCTGGCACTGCTGTGTAACCTACCTAGGCGGACGGCGCAAACGTGAGACATTTGCCCAGTTTGGGTATTGGCTAACTGCTATTTATCCCTCACTCATGGGCTGACATATCGTGCGGACAGTGAACCCTCACTCTTGGAGGTGCAGATTGTTCCACAGTTGGTACCAAGCGACAAATCAAACATGAACCACATTTTGTCTAATTATACTATACCCTACATGTCTACATAGGCTTCCCATTCTCAGTGTAGTTTAGCATGCTAGTCTGACACAGTCAACATTTTAGTGAAGGCCTAGCCTGATGTTATTAGGTTGATGTATAAATAGTGTATGTTAACCTGGCAACCTACTACGTCATACTGTTATTCTTTTTGGGCCTGAATAGTTACATAAAAAAGTCAATGCCCCTCGGATTAGGTTCTGCATCTGCCCCTGAATGGAGGCATCCACTTATGAGAGCTTCAGGTAAGTATGTCTACCTCTCACTTCTCTTTCAGGGTGCTACTACGAACAAACTGGGCATGTCAACTTTGTGGGTCTTTGCAAAATAAGCTAAAAATCACGCAGTTGCTTTTAATAAACACTCAAAATCTGTTTAAAATGTTAGTTGAGGGCAGCAGGGGGGCTTAGTAATATAAAGAGATTGTCAATACTGAAGCACTGGGATGCAGGGCTAATGTGTGGCAGTAATTCTCTATGAGAGGCACCTCAGTTACACGACATCTTGTTATTCATTTATCTGGAAAGAAGTATTTGTTATTTACAATTTTGTGTTTATGACAGGACAGTTTCATGGCTGTTTGTGTTACCTCAGGCGCTCATGCATACAAACACCAGGAAGCCTGGTCTTCTTCAACCAACAGCATCATATTATCACTCTCATTTAACAGCTCCAATATAGGTCAGTGAGTGTGTTTGTATGAGTCTGCATGGGTCAGAGTGTGTGTGGGATAAATTAAGGAGAGTCTCTGGAAGTAGTTTAAGCAGTAGTATTGCAGTTAGTATACTCATCTACCATGTTTAAATTAGTGTAAGACTCGCCGACCTACTGTGACATAATGTTGAGCTTAACATGATATGGCCATGTGGTGTAACTGAATTCCCATATTTGTTTGTTAAGATTGGGGATTTTAAGTAGCCATTTAAAATTTAAATCTATATAAAAAAGAAAATGTGTGTGCATTGTTCTTCGTATTTTGGATATATTTTGGTCGCTACAGCAGCTCTACTACTTAGAAATGCATGTTCTGAGTGTGCCTCCAATTCCCCTTTTTTAAGTGTGTGTATATCTGCATGGTTCAGTAACAGTGTATGTGTCTGTTTAAATAAGTGTGAGTGTTGTAGATAACAAAACATTGTGATACCAGTTCTATTATTGGGAATTATTTAAATAGTGCGGTAACAATGGAATATCTTATGTGCAAGTAGAACATGCCAAAAAAAATCATATGCAGCTTATTATGGGAGCAAAAGGGCAATAAATCCCCTGTACAAATACAGAAATACAAAATTAAAAAAATAGTGAGAAAACAAATCTCAACATCTTGCAACAAACACACCTGTGTTCAAAGTGCTGAAATACATAGGTTTAAATTCCTCTATGCTTCTTGTGGTCCTATAAAGTTACAGATAACTTTCCATAAAAGCGTAAATGGTTCCTCAAACTCAAATATAATAATTTTGCTCCAAAGATTATTACTCCAAAAAATGAGACATATGCACTATGTCATCAAATGGCAAAAAGTGTTAACAGTAAATGGAGTCACTCACCAGAGTTGGAGCCTTAGATGTGATTTGGTTCATACTTTGCACCTTCAACACTCTTTTAGGTGGTGTTCCACCTTTGCAGTAGAGATGGTATGGATTAAAATAGCCCAAATACCAATGATAGAGTAGCACTCCTTCGCGGGGCAGAAGCCACCCTAAATGTGGTGTAGGGATATACCATTGCACTGCTGTTGTATATTCAAAAGGCCAGGATACTAGTGGTGAGAGCAGGACTCCTTTCTGGACAAAATCACATCCAATATGAGAAGTTCAATAAACTTTAACCCCTTAAGGACACATGACATGTGTGACATGTCATGATTCCATTTCATTCCAGAAGTTTGGTCCTTAAGGGGTTAATGGATTATAGACATATTCTATATGTAGATAAAAGCAATAGCAATGAATGTGAAAATC